GAAGCCAGAGAGCTTTGAATTAAGGTCCTGGCTTTGTTTATCTACTAGTAATGGACCTTGGCAAGTTATTAAGCCTTTAAGACCTGAATTGCCTTTAAGGCGTAAGAATAAAAAAATAAGAATTTCCAGGTCAGACATAATATAGTACTACTAGTATCTACAATACTTGGCTCATATGCTGGTATAAATGGTAGCTACTATCATTATATCTACATTATTATTAAAAATGACCTGTTTCGTGAAACGCAAAACTATCTTGCTCTTCAAAGTGAATCTGCCATAATTTTAGAATTAGACTAAGACCAAATTACTCGTAGTGGAGACAGTTAATTTCAGAACGGATTTTTTTTTTTTTTTTTTTTTGAGACGGAGTCTTGCTCTGTCGCCCAGTGCTGGGGCGCAGTTGACCGGATCTCAGCTCACCGCAATGCTCCGCCTCCGCGGGTCCACGCCATTCTCCTGCGCCCAGGCTCCCGTTAGGCGGGACACAGGCGCCCGCAATCGGCCCGGTGCTTGTTTTTTTTGTAATTTTAGTAGAGGTTTTCACGGTCAGGATGGTCTCGATCTCCTGACCTCGTGATCCGCCCGTCTCGGCCTCCCAAAGTGCTGGGATTACAGGCTTGAGCCACCGCGCCCGGCCAATTTTCAGAACAATTAAGTACTTCTTGTTTGATACTGGTATTATGTAAGCTTAAGACATAATTACTTGGCAAAACATCATAACCAAGTAGGATTTATTCCAGGTATATAAGGCTGGTTCAACACTCAAAAAATAATGTAATCAAATATATCAACAGGTTAAAGAGAAATATGATCATGTGAAACAATCAAGAACAAGCACTTGACAAAATCTAACACCCATGTATAATAAACTCTCGGCAAATTACAAACAGATGAGGATTACCTCAACCTGATAATGAACATGTATTAAAAACCTATAGCTAACATCATACTTAATGGTAAAAGTTTGAATCCTTTCTTCCTAAGACTGGGAACAAGAAAGGATGTCCTCTCTCACTGTTCTAATTCAGCATAACACTGGAAATTCTAGTCATTGCAAAAAAGCAAGGAAAGCAATAAAAGGCATACAGATTGGAAAGAAAAAAAAAGTCACTATTTGTGAAAAATGTAATGGTCTACATCAAAAGTCCCAAGGAATCTATTAAAAAAACCTCCTAGAATAAGTGAGTTCAGCATAGACTATAAGATCAACACACAAAAGTCAATCACATTTCTATATATTAAAGTGTATATATGTAATCAATCACATATTCTATATGTAATGAATATGTGGGAAACCAAAACTTCAAAACACCATTTACAATTGTTCTAACAAATTAAATACTGGTATACACATTAAATAACTACATCATCTGTGTAGTAAGAGCTATAAAATGCTGACGAAAGTAATCAAACAAGAAATCAAATAAAAGGAGATATGAACCCTATTCAGAGATTGGAACACTCAATGTAGTGTTCCAATGCATGTCGATTCTCCCAAAATTTACCTACAGGTTTAATCAATTCCCATAAAAACTTAATTATCTAGTGAAAGACAGAAAATGATAAAAGTAGGCTAGGCACAGTGGCTGATGCCTGTGATGTCAGCACTTAGGGAGGCAGAGGTGGGAGGATGGCTTAAGGCCAGGAGTTCGCAACCAGTCTGGGCAACAAAGTGAGACCCCATCACTATCAAAAACAAAAACAAAAACAAAGCAACAAGCAATAAAACAAAACTAATACAAACCAATAGCATGTGTAATGACCGCAGGTTTTTGCTGATATTGAAATGCTTCTGTAGTACTTCTTGCACACTTCTATCTTCTGAGAGATACTAAGGGGCGGGGGGGGGGGGGGGGAAGACAAAATTGAGGAAAGATGTAGTTTAAAACCCAAATATAATCCTGTGCCTTACTGGTTGGTGTGCCTTATTAATGCTATCTAATATTAATTCATTATTAAATAGATGTTGGTCTTATTTGTAGAACACTAAAACCAAAATAAAGTTTCCAGTCTACTGATTTCCTTATCCTGTTCTTTATATTAATTCAATAAACACAATGATAAAACAATCCTTGCTAACCCCAAATTCCTACTTGAATAAAGGAAACTACAGTAATACCAGTGAAATGAACAAAATGCAGCACAAAAACACAAGCGCATGAGTTACTGTACCTAGGGAAACAAGGTAAAGCACTACAAATAATGCTTAAACTGGATGAGACAAGAGATTTGAAAAAGAAGGAAGAGCATTCCAGTTACAGGGAACAGCATGAGTAGTAGGAAAATCATCACATATTGGCAGAAAATGAGTAGTCACGTACTGGAGTTTCAGTTACTGGCAAAGTGAATGTACAAAAAGACAAAGGCAGAAAAACCTAATTGGAGGTAGCTGTCCAGACAAGAGGTAAGGAGGGTCTGAACTATCTGAGTGGTAATGAAGACAAAAGAGAATTAAGACACTTATAGGAGATATATCTGGTAGAGAATTAACTGGTAGCAGAAGAGAAGGAAGGGTTTGAAAGGTAGAAGATAAAAATGAAAGATAATCTATGGGAAACAAAATGGCCTGTGAAAAGTGAAATGTGCTCAAGAAATGAATCTTGGATTATCAATATTTAAGTAGTAGGTGGGAAAAGAGAAAAATTAAGAAAGTAAGAAAAATACCAAAGACTGGAAGAGAATCTAAGACACAGCAGAGATCTAGAAAACACGGGAAGAAAGTTTTAAGAGAGAAGTGGGGTTCAACAATATGAACTACTTTGTAAAATTAAGATATATTTGAGAAGAGGCTAATGGCTTTAGAAATTCAAAGGTCACCAGGGCCTTTTGAGAAAGCAACATCTAAAGAGGCAAGTGACTGCAGTATATTAGGGTTGAATGGAAGGTGAGGCACATTGGCATTGAAGAAAGGATTAGATGAAAAGAGAGTAAATTCAGAGGTAGCAGAGCCAAGAAAGGCCTGGAAAAGATCGACATAATTTTACAAAAATTATCTGCATGGAATAAGAATTCTTTTTTTCTTAAAAAAACAAACAAAAAAACCCCAGAAAACTAAGCATTTCTGTATTTTCTAGAGCTGAATTACATGTCTTTACTTTGTCCACTCTAAGAAGACCAGATTCAGAAGTAAGTTCTAGTCTACTGGAATGAAATTTTATACTCTCAGGAAATATATTATTAATTTTAGTTCCCACTCCCTTGCTATTGTTTCTAGTCTTCGTATTTTAAAGGACTTCTGGTTACTATATATATCTTTTTCTATCACAAACAGGGTAGAATTTCCTTGGAAGTACACAGGGTGAACATAAAAAAAATAACTTTTGGAAATTAAAAAAATTTGTTTAGCTTTTCCACAGTTTTAAAATTGAAATATGGAAGATATGTGGCTAAATATCAAAGGCAAACTATAGTCTTTGCTTCTGTAATCTGTAACTTGTAAAAGTTGATGTGGTAAAATCGGAGCACTTAGGAAAACTAAAGAAAATCCACCTGGGACAAAACTGATTTAAGAAATTTTCTCTGCAAGAATCAATTATTTTTAAAACCTGTATTTGCCTCTTTTTGACACGATGCTTCAAAGGTTAATCTTCTATACTCCATCTTCCTACTTTATCTCTTTATTATTAGTGGTTTGACTCCAGTCCCCCCTCTTTCTAAAAGCTATCACCTTCTTGCTTCTATAATTACTTACTCTGCTTTTTAAAATGCCTACCTTATCTACATGAGCCATTTAAACAAACAAAAAAATTGTCTAACATCGTTTATTATATTTTTAAATCCATCTTGATTCAAACACTGTACCCTATTTGAGGATAAGGCTATTATCAACAACCACATAAGCTACAGTACTTTGGTAGATTTCATTTGAGGAGAATAAGGTATGATTCTTTTAAATGTTCTTTTTAAAGGATCTCTCTTATACTGCCATGCTAAGATAGAGTCTACTCTGCTTACTTATTTGACTCATTTGAAGTAGGGCTAAAACAAACCTTCAAATTAGGCAGGATATCAAGGTTCCATCTTATCCTGAAGATATTTTGTGGATGAGATTCCATGTGTGACCTGTTATCTGTATCACTGCTATTGGCTTAATCTTGCCGTTAAAAATAACTTCCTGGATAATCAGCACTAAGAGAAAGAATAGCTCCCTTAATGCAGCTACCACCCTACTCCACAAGGCAGGGACTCTGACCATGGTGCTGACAGATTTTTCAAGTGAAGCTCATTTTATTCACATACCAAAGAGAGGCATAAGATAATCAAGATAGGAGAAGAAAATATTAGAACTCAGAGACACAAACACCAGTGATGCTGCTTCTACTTAATGAAATGGACTATTAAGACTGTCAAAAAGATGACAGGATAGTGCTCACATTCAGGGGATTTAAGGTCTGCAACAAAAGTCCAGAAAGTAGAGTAGTTACACTATTAACATACAGTTACCATTTCCTAAGTCATGCAGAGTTATACTTCTTCACCAGTAACTCCCAGTATCCTCTTTATTTACAGACCCACTTTGAGATGCTCAGAATGCAATACAGTTGGGAAGGACGGTGGATGGAAAATGGCACAATGCAACCTGGACCATGTAGTTACCTTAGGAAGATTAAGTGTGAGCAGGTATGGAAAAAATAAGAGCCCATGTAAAGTACAGAAATTTAAATACTATGAAAGACTACATTTGAATCTCTAAAACAGCCAGAAAAATATACTGGTGGAATAAGACAATCAGTTCAGGAGTTGTAGAAGATGAAAGTCTATGAAGCACTAAAAAGTAGATCTAAAAGCTGAAGATCCAGAGGTCTGGTCCATACCAGACCCCGGTAAGAGGGGACAATGTGGGAGTACCAACTACAAAGAAAGTGCTCCTATAGATGGAATCCTATAATTAGAAATAGTATCAAAGACACTTGGCTCAGGTAATTGAACTATCCAAGTCTCAGGAATGATTAATTTGAGTGGAAGGGAGGATCCATACCTAATTATATCAAGGCATAGTATCTGAATTTTAAAGATAATGTGAGCTATTTTTACATACAATTATGTATAGTTGTATTAAGAAAAAGAACAAGGAATTATCAGTCATAACAATGGGAAAAAGTAATATAAACATATGTAGACTTTGAGTCCTTTACGTAAAAACAATATATTTAGCATGTATGTAAACTCTGCAATGTTATAGACCAAATAATTACTCCATAGTAGAGGGAAGGAGAATTGATATAGTCTTATGGAAAACTTCCACTGTTTATCATGTATTTTTTTGCACTGATTACATTTTGTTCAATAAACTTTTAGGACTTTTTTAAAAAATGAAATGTGTCAAAATTAATAGTGCTTACATGAGCAGACTATATTTTATAATCAAAACAATAATCATTTAAAGAACAAACTAAATGCAAAATGCTTCCAATTTAGTATTAGTATGTAAGAATTCATGGTAAAAACACAATCTACTTGAGGTCAGGTGTGGTGGCTCACGCCTGTAATCCCAGCACTTTGGGTGGCTGAGGCAGGCGGATGACAAGGTCAGGAGATCGAGACCATTCTGGCTAACGCAGTGAAACCCCGTCTCTACTAAAAATACAAAAAATTAGCTGGGCGTGGTGGCAGGCTCCTGTAGTCCCAGCTACTCAGGAGGCTGAGGCAGGAGAATGGCGTGAACCTGGGAGGCGGAGCTTGCAGTGAGCCGAGATTGCGCCACTGCACTCCAGCCTGGGCAACAGAGCAAGACTCCATCTCAAAAAAAAAAAAAAAAAAAAAAAAAAATACAATCTACCACTACTGCTTTAAAATAAAACAATCTTTTTTATAGAGTCACTGAATACAGACTGTGTAATTCTATTCAAAGATCTAATTATCCTTACCAGTATTTTAATATTATCAATCAATTTTTCCCAATTCCTTCAGAGCCAGGGACTCCATATTATTTTCCACTCTCACGAGGCCAATATTTTTTGAGATTCTACCATAAGGGACTTATTCATTAACAATGTTTTTCAATTATGTTATTAAATACACATACACATGCATACTTCCTCCTTTCTCTTTGCCAACTGAAGCTTCTTGACAGCATAAGATTAAAATGCTAGTGTGTTGAGAATATTTTCAGCACAGGTAAATTTATAGTCTCAACGGTGTGGCAAATCTTTAAAACAACATATGAACCTGCCTTTGTATCTAAGATTCTCAGGTCTCCAGGGACTGAGAGATGTGATCACCTAATAGATAATATAACCGGAGGTGCCACAGTCTGTGCTGCCTCTTAAGGCCCAACAAAGTAAAAGCTGAAATTGCTAATGAAAACTGGAAGAAAAAAAATCCACACAGAATAGGTATGAATCACTAACATTTATTTATCATTATTTACTATTTATTATTATTGCTAAATATGTAAAATATAAAAGTAAATTATGCAAATTCACTAATAAAATTATCTGAAATATAAACCACATATAGATAAAACTAAAGCCTCATTAAAGTTTACTTCAAACTAATAACATAAATCCTAAAGCTTAACTGTAATGTTCTTTTGAGATAGAACTTAGCAGATACGACATTTCAACTGTTACAAGAAAATTTTAAAAAAGCATATAATTTGTATTCCTGTAGCTTTATCCCTCAGCAATATTAGAAACTTTGTGTTAATTTACTAATTTCTAAAATTTGTGTTTTAATTGCTTTAAATCATATAGCAAGGAACATTTAGTTTTATTGCCTTTAAGTTACCTGAACATTTTCATTCCACTTCTCAGCAAAAAGCTTGTCTGGAAATTCTGCAGGTAGAGATAGCTGTTCTTTAAATATTTTAACATACTGTGGAAAACCAAATGAATTCATTAAGTGTATCTGCCGGTGAGAAAATCTTGACTTCACTCTTTTTTCTAAGAGTTCCAAAATATCCTTAAAAACAAACAGAAATCTCTATAAGCAAGATGAATGTTTAAAAAAAAAAAAAAACTATACCAATATTAGAGATATAAGTAAACTATCACCTATAATTAGTAATGTTTAGTCTATAACACATAATTAAACATTTAAAACATTTTATGCAAACTAAATAATCCCCCTCGAGGCAACTGCTGGCCTGGTGATGTTATGCCTTTTTCCTACCATGTTACTCTCAGCTAATCTGTAACATTCCAAGACCCAATATGATTGTTTAAAAAAACTGACTATATTAAATAGCTATATGTCACAGTAACAAGAGTGTCAGTAAGGAATTCTGTACATTCTATGAAGAACTGAGATTAAAAAATTAATAGCATCATAGGTAGCAGAAACCAACTTTAGGAGAGGAAAGTGCCAGAAATGCAACATGGCATTTGTAAGTTATCTTCCGGCTTTTTATTTTTTATTTTTATTTTTTATAGTAATGCTTTTAGACTTTATTTGTATTTGTACTATTTTTCCTTAGGAAGAAATCAGGAATCAAATTTACCGTCAAAGAACACTAAAAACCAAAGGATAACTAATATGTACTGCTTGCAAGGACATACGAAGTATTCTTAAATGAAGAAAATACTTCCACAAAACTGATAGGCATTCAAACTATCCAAGATATCAAAAGCACAATAGGTAAGTTGTCTTCCTAAGTCACATAAATTGCAGGAACTGTCATTCCTAAATCTCTTTTTAATATTGAACTTGAGGAATTTTTCAAAATATATTATAGTACACAGTATAATGTATATAATATATATAATTTATATATGTGTATATATATCTACATATATAGTATAGTATAATATATATTATTTAAGTTACACTCCAAGGTATACAACCAAGACAAATGAAACCAGGTAACTACAAAAAAAGTGTATGTGAATGTTTGCAGCAGTACTATTTTTAATAGCTTCAGAAATGTAAACAACCCAAATGTCCATCAACTGATGAATGGATAAACAAAGTGTGGTATATCTATACAACAGAATATTATTTGGCAATTGAAAGGAATAAAGGGCTGATATATGCTGTAACACAGATCAACCCTGAAAACATGTTAAAGAAGCCAGTCACACAAAACTATACGTTGTATGATTCAAAAATTACTATACAGTCAGAAAGTGGATTAGTAGATTAGTGGTTGCATAGGGCTGTGGAGGGAACAGGGGATTTGGGGTGACTGCTAAAAGGTATGTGGCTCTTAAATTGTGGTGATAAATGCACAACTCTATAAATAAAAACCCTGTTAACTGTATAATTTAAATGAGTGAACTGTATGGTATAAATTACATCTCAATAAAGCTGTTTTAAAAAGCCCCCACCCCCAAATATGAACATGATGTCACTGTTGTTTACATTTCTTAAGCTATTAAAAATAATACCACTACAAACATTCACATACACTTTTTTTGTAGTTACCTGGTTTCATTTGTCTTGGTTGTATACCTTGGAGTGTAACTTAAATAATACATATTATTTAAGGAATTACAGCTAATGTAACAATTATATTAGGGAAATACATTTTTAGAGAGCCTTATTTCCTAAAAATACATTCTAAAACACTTACTGATAAAATGATATAATGCCTAGTTTTTGCCTCAGAATAATACAGGAATTAAGGGAGATGTTGAGGATAAATAAAACTAGTCTGTAGTAATTGAATCTTGGCAAGGAGTGGAGAAGGGAATTCAGGGCTTATTATTTATTCTTTCCTATGTATATTGTTAAAATGTTATAGAATAAAGTTTTTTAAAAGGGGAGTAGTTTAAGCCCAGAACTATACATTTCCACATCTAGCAAGATGACTCTCATAATACCTAGGTCAAGAAATCATGATATAGAGGAAAGAATTCAAGTGATCAAAATGGGATCATGGTTAGTCTGGGAAGGAGGACAAGAAAGACTAACAGCCTGAGGTAGGAGGCGCGAGGGTGAATAAAAAATTTTGAATGTTTTTATGAGGTCAAAGAAAAGTATAGTGCCAGCATGAGAATTAAAAGAGAAGAAAGGTTATATTCAGAGATTCAGATATTGCACACTTATTTTCTATTAAGAAAGAGTTCTAGGTCACCCATATAGGTAGACAGTAGAAATAATATCAATACAAGCAACAATTAAGACCCTAAATTTGGGAATGAAAAGAGATGGAAGTAAATAATGTCTTTGTAGTAGGCAGTAATGACAGAAGTTGGCAATGTGGGCATAAAGGAACTAGTAAAAACAAAACAAAACCAAAAAACAAAAATGGAATTACTCCCAATGGGGAAGAAGATGCTTGCTGGCAAAGTCACTACTCCCTCTATATATCTCTCCCTATAAACATGGATACACAGATAAAATTATACTTGAGGCCAGGCGCAGTGGCTCACACCTGTAATCCCAGCACTTTGGGAGGCCGAGGGGGGCGGATCACAAGGTCAGGAGTTTTGAGAGCAGCCTGGACAACATGGTGAAACCCCGTCCCTACCAAAACTACAAAAATTAGCCAGGCATGGTGGTGTGTGGCTGTAATCCCAGCTAGTCGGGAGGCTAAGGCAGGAGAATTGCTTGAACCCGGAAGGTGGAGGTTGCAGTGAGCTGAGATCACGCCATTGCACTCCAGCCTTGGCGACAGAGCAAGACTCCATCTCAAAAAAAAAAAAAAGAAAGAAAGAAAGAAAGAAAGAAAGAAAGAAAGAAAAAAGATTACACTTGAAAGAACTACACAGTTGGAGAATTATATATATACACAATAAAAAAAGAACATCTGATAACACTGCTAAGAAGTTACTGACATTTTATTTGGTTCTTCATCGGGTCAACACTTGCCACAGCCGCTTCCACCCAAAGGAAGATTTTTTTTTTTTTTTTTTTGGCAAGAAGGAGGGTGCTTCTTTGATCCTTGTCATAGCCTGCTGCTTTTGGCAAGGAGGAATAAAGATATGTGGAGCACCAGCCAGTGATGTATGAGGGGAGTTTATACTAAAGCCATACATCATAAGCTCTAGAGCACAGGGAAAGAGGGGCAAATGACAGTGACTCTATAGAGAAACAGCACTGGAAGGAGGACTGTTAAAATATGAATTAGTAAAAAGTTTCACTTTTCTGAAAAAGAAAAAGGGCTGTACGAAAGGAGATGTGAATGTATACATGTGCCTGAATATGTCTGTGGAGAATGGAGGGGGAAGAGGATGGCAAGCAAGCTATGGAGGCACGGCAGTTATAGCATGAGAAAAGAGATAACTGTGCTATGGTATGGACGTGGTTTGTCCCCACCAAATCTCATGTTGAAATTTAATTGCCAGTGCAACAGTGGGAGGTCACTGGAGTGGACCCTCATGAATAGATTTAATGCCCTCTTACTGGCCTGAGTTCTTGTTCTCATGGGGATAGATTAGTTCTTGAGACAGCGAGTTGTTATAAATTGAGGTTCCAACTCCCATCTGGTTCGTTTTTGCACATATCTGCTCCCCATTTGACCTTCCACCACGTCATGCAGCATGAAAGCCCTTGCAACAAATCCAGTGCCATGCCCTCGAATTTCTCAGCCTGCACAGCTGTGAGATAAATAAACCTATTTTCTTTAAAAATTACCCATCTCAGGTATTATGTTATAGCAACACAAAATGGGCCAAGGCACTCTTCAATGCCAGTTTATCTGAATTCAGTAAGGAAGTTCATGCTACAAGTGTGTAAGAAGGTAAACACAAAAAGGCCTGCATAGCTGTCCAAAGGTACACATGGTTCAATATGTACAGAGCCTTCACAAAGCAAAGTGATAGTGATATTGAGACTATAGTTAAAATCATTCTAAAATATCCCATGGAATGAAAAAGCCACTATCTACTGTCAGTGCTTGGTAGAATCTTTTCCATTTCTGGAGACGTGTACTTTGAAAGTTGGAATAGTATTATTTAGAGTTGATTTCAATCCTGTTCAAAATATGGAAAAAAAATCTTACAACAAAAACTATTACCAAGTTTTCTCAAATACTGGTGGGATTACTTAACTGCCTCATTACTTGATAATGTAGAAATTATATTTATTAGCATAATCTGATTTCACACTTTTTTCTTCAGTGATTTCACTGGGGGGAGGGAGGTATTCATTAATGGGCTAAGGTAACCATTAACCTGTTTTCCTAAATTTGAATTGAAAAGCAGGATAAATACACCAGGCACTGCTGAAACAAAATTTTTAAAATGCCTAATATAATGACCTAAATAAGTGAAAAAAGACTAGTAGTGTCAGCAATTAAGCTTGAATTTTAAAATATTATAATCAACTTTTTTAATGAAGAAAAAGACTTACCAATCTACATGTAAGGCCAATAACTGCTATTGGGGTCTGTGCAGACTGAGAAATGTCAAAAAGATTATAGAGAAGTGTTTGGTTTTTATGATGAGCAAAAAGATCAAATTCATCTAATATGAAGATCACTGGGCAACTGCTAGTTCGGTCACCTAAGATAAAATAAGAGCATTACATTATCAAGAAATTATATCCACCTTTCCTAAATTTCCAAACTATTTACTGTATTTCAGTTTTTAAAACTCAATTCTACAAACATACTGATAGCCTACTTTGGGTAGGGGATTTACTGATGCATATATATTCATTCAACAGAAAAAAATTATTCAAAGGACAAAGACAGCCCCGACTGCTCTCAAGAAGTTCAGTCTAGGCTGGGCGTGGTGGCTCACGCCTGTAATCCTAGCACTTTCGGAGGCCGAGGCAGGTGGATCACCTGAGGTTGGGAGTTCGAGACCAGCCTGACCAACATGGAGAAATCCCATCTCTACTAAAAACACAAAATTAGCTGGGTGTGGTGGTGCATGCCTGTAATCCCAGCTACTCGGGAGGCTGAGGTAGGAGAATTGCTTGAATCCGGGAGGCAGAGGTTGTGGTGAGCCAAGATCGTGCCACTGCACTCCAGCCTCGGCAACGAGAGTGAAACTCCATCTCAAAAAAATGGTTCAGTCTAGGCCGGGCATGGTGGCTCATGCCTGTAATCCCAGAACTCTGGGAGGCTGAGGTGGGTGGATCACCTAAGGTCATGGGTTTGTGACTAGCCTGGCCAACATAGTAAAACCCCATTTCTGCTAAAAAAAAAAAAAAAAAAATTGCTACTTGGGAGGCTGAGGTAGGAGAATCTCTTGAACTGGGGAGGCAGAGGTTGCAGTGAGTCAAGATCACACCATTGCATTCTAGCCTGGGCAACAAGAGTGAAACTCCGTCTCCAAAAAATAAAAAGTTCAGTCTAGTTCCTAGACTCTAGTAGAGTTTGTTGTTGAGAAATGTCAAAAATCATTTAAATTACTAAAGACTATTATTTTTATAATTATGTGAACATAATTCTTATTTAATGATTATAAAATTGAGAAAGAGTTTTCTATATCTGCACAGAATGAAAACACTTTAGGATTAAAATATAAGAGGAGTTATTAATTAATGAACAAAACTAATGCTTTAAAAGAGAGTTGTTTAGTAGAAATACAAGGTACATTTCTTGTAGAAATACTTGTTATAAACAAACTTTTAGATTATAAAGTTCAACTAAAGCCACTTAAACTCCCTTTATGCACAACTTTTAGCATTTCAACTACAATGCTTTTCATTGGGAAAGTTCCACATCACCCTCTGGTTACATTTTTCTCACTTCAGTGATGGAAATAACTTTAGTAGAAGAATCCCTTTTACCTTAGGCTTAATGCCTTTACATTTGTGTTAAAAGGTAAAACAAATATCTGATAAAAGAAAGACTTATTTCACACAAATAAATACAGTAGCCTAAATGATTTAATACTGGTATAAAACCAAAGGGATTACTCAAAAGTCTAGAAAGAGACCTATGTACTAATACAGAATTTTAGTATTTGATATAACATTGCATTATACATCAGTGGGGAAAATTAGTCTATTCAAAGTTAGATCCCTACTTTACAGGTAAAATCAGAATAAATTCCAAACAAATTATAAATTATAAATATATATATTAAATAAAAAGATCAATGTTTTTATAATCTGAAGGAGAGAAAAAACTTTCTAGATAAACTTAACTACGTGGAAAACGTAAAACTTTAGATCATCAGAAAAGTCCAAACCAAACTTAAGGGAAGAGAAAAATAAAACAAAAATTCCGATAAATAAATATAAGATAAACATTACCACAATAGGTCAAAGACCCAACAGGAAATACAGTCGTGTGTCCCTTAATGACAGAGATACGTTCTGAGAAATGTATTGTTTGGTGATTGCATCATTGTACAAGCATCCTAAGAGTGTACTTACACAAGCCTAACTGGTGTAGCCTACTAGACACCTAGGCTGTATGGCATAGCCTATCACTCCTAGGTTATGAACCTATGAGCATGTGATAGTGTAGGCAACTGTAACACAATGGAAAGTATTTGTGTATCTAAACATATCTAAACACAGGAAATGTACAGTAAAAATATGGTTTTATAATCTAATAGGACCACTGTCACATATGTGGTCTATCATTGAATTAAAGGTTATGTGGCACATGACTGTACATAAACCAGGAAATTTCAAAGGTCAATAAAAATATGAAATGACAAGCATCACCACTAACAGAATTATGCAAATTAAACAAAGAACAAAATTATTCAAATTAAACTAAGAGATGAAAGTTTTTCTATTATATGGGCAAACATAAAAATAATTGTTTTTGAGGTTGTGAAGAAAAAGGTATTATCAAATATTTTTACAAAGTAAACCTTTAGTTTTTAAATGTCTTTTAAAGACGGTGCCTTTCAACCCAGAATTCTACCCACAGAAATTTATTCCAGGAAATATCTGGATGATCATCTAAGTATCTCTTCTTAATTATAAAAAATTAGAAACAAAAGTCCATAATTGGTGATTAATAAAAAGCACCTTATAAAACAAGATAACCATAAAAATGATGCAGATCAAAATTTGCTGATTACAAAATGATAGGTAAAATTTTATTGTAAAAAGTTACATTTAGCTCCATCAATAATATACTGATATAAACATCATCAGTATATACAGTATATTATACTGTATATATTATTGAATAAAGAAACCAAATGCTAATTGAGATAATCACTGTTATAGTGGTGGGAATACAGTGATCATTCTTTTTAATGTTTCTGTATTTTGAGAGTTTTTCTTTTGGCAAAAGCTTGTATTACCTTTATAATCAAGGAAAAAATAAAAGTTAAAACATACCTTCTGAAATGGCTGAATACGTTAATATTTACCTTTTTTTAAAGCTTCCAGAAGAAATGAAAGGTTTTCAGCAAAGCTTCCCTGAACAACAAAATGAGATAAAATGATTAAAAGTTTAGTGAAATAAAGAATAAAAGAGGGCTGATTCTCAGATTTTATATAAACACTGTATATCTTCTAGTTATTAGAGTCACTGCCCAGACTTTGCTGAGAGTCTCTATACTTCCTATCTAAAACTTAAATACTTAAGCAAAGATAGCACAACACTGAAAATGGCAATTACAGTGTCATGCTTGAAATTTTATTTCAAGCAATTATTTTAATTACAATGTCATCCTAGAAATTTGAAGGTAGTTTTGTAGAGTTGCCATATTCTAAATATTGTTTGAGACCTAGAAATGGATTCTATTTTGTGTCTTCAAACACAGTGGGGTCTTGCAAGTCTCAAATTAATTTGTACTGGTAAAGAAATAACCATGAATTTAAATGAGATACAAAAACAAAAGGCTTTTTTGAAACATTAGATACTATAACAGTGTTTGTCTATTCAAGAGTATACTGAAGAAGTTTTTTATTTTTATTTATTTATTTTTTTTGAGACAGAGTCTCGCTCTGTCGCCTAGGCTGGAGTGCAGTGGTGCGATCTCAGCTCGCTGCAAGCTCCGCCTCCCGGGTTCACGCCATTCTCCTGCCTCAGCCTCCCGAGTAGCTGGGACTACAGGCGCCCGCCACCATGCCCGGCTAATTTTTTGTATTTTTTAGTAGAGACGGGATTTCACCGTGTTAGCCAGGATGGCCTCAGTACCCTGACCTCGTGATCCACCCGCCTCGGCATCCCAAAGTGCTGGGATTACAGGTGTGAGCCACTGCGCCCGGCCAAGAGTATACTGAAGAGTTTATGTATATCATACCATGTTTGGCTATGTTTACTTGTAATATAGCCAAAACGTTTTTGGATACAATTAAATATTCTTGATGAAACTTAACGTAGTAGATGCCTTATCCAGGTGCTTCAGATTGTGGGTAGAAGCCCCATTAAAATATTTTTTTCATTAAAGTTATTAATTTTTATTTCATTCAGAGTTCATAATTAAAAAGAAATAGCCAACTTTAAATTTGAGGAGAGATAAAGGAGAAAAGAAACGCACTTATTCGTTCTCCAGTTGAGAGATCTAACATAAAAATAGCATACAGATTTTTAAACTTTCACATATTGTGATGTTGTTATGCTATTTCCAAGGTAGGCAGACCAAGAGGTGTTATCCATAATTTATCATAATATAACAAATCCTCAAAGAGACAATCTGTTGGGAAATCAGTGGTCAGTTACTCAAAGGTAGTTTGTCTTTCAGGCTTTTTGTTTAAAAGATTATTATATCTGATACTAAATATATACTTCTTTTTTGTTTTGTTTTGTTTTTTTGAGACGGAGTCTCGCTCTGTGGTCGCCCAGGCTGGAGTGCAGTGGCGCGATCTTGGCTCACTGCAAGCTCCGCCGCCTCCCAGGTTCACGCCATTCTCCTGCCTCAGCCTCCCTAGAAGCTGTAACTACAGGCGCCCGCCACCACGCCCGGCTAATTTTTTTGTATTTTTAGTAGAGACGAGGTTTCACCGTGTTCGCCAGGATGGTCTCGATCTCCTGACCTCATGATCCGTCCACCTCAGCCTCCCAAAGTACTGGGATTACAGGTGTGAGCCACCGTGCCCGGCCCTAAGTATATACTTCTGTAAATATGTATTTGTGCATGTATAATATACATATATATGTCTGCTTATATCAAACCAGAAAAGCTGTGGGTTGCATTAAGTGACTTAGGTTCTTATAATGTCAAGCCTCTGCCATTTTATGACCTTTGGCAACCTAATTATGCTCTCTGAGAAGAACCCAAATGTATATAATGAAATAATTAAACTAATAATTTCTATACCAGTGTTTCTCTATTCAAGAGTATATTGAAGAATTTATGTATATCATATCCATGTACGGCTATGCTTACTTGGAAAGCCAAAACATTTTTGGATACAACTTAAACTAATAATCTCTATATGTGATGATAACAGCGAAGATTAGAACAGAATGATAAAAAATTGTGTTTATTATTTCACATAAAACCAATATGAATATGTAACCTTTAAAAATGTCAGAAACACCTATCCAGATCAACTGGGAACCAAAAGCCAAACTGAGCATACTTAATAGGAACTGTCTTTGGCTCAGTATATGCCACTAGCTTCAACATCACATTTAAACAGGAGGTAGAATATTAGATTTATAGAAGGGGCATTTTGAAATTACACTTCAAAGACCTATAGACTATGGAAGGGACAAATTTACTCAACCTTTTAGACTATTAGATTAGTATTTTTATTATGTTAATATTTTCATAGATTAATATATTTATTACATTAATTTATAGATTATATAATCTATAATTATATAATAATCTATAATATATAATCTATTACATAATTATATAGATATAACCTATTATAGATTTATATAGATGATATAATTATATAGATTTATAGATTAATTTTCTAGATTACTGTTAATAGTAATCTATATTTTATAGATTAATTTTCTAGATTATTTTATAATTAATAATAATTTTATAGATTAATTATTAAAGAAAACTCATAAATGCTAGGAGTCTTACACAACTATGGTGGTGTCATTGCAGCACAAAGCACACAGTTCAGAAATTAGAGTGGTGCCACTACATGGTCACCAGTAACCAGAAAATGAAGTTGGAATGTATATAATCCACTCCAACTGCATAAGCAGTATGAGGCTAGGTAATTTCATCATGAAAATTCAGGTAGCTGCAAAATTAAATTATCATGTTTTCCTTAGGCCCTATATATTAAGTGAAAAGTAAAAGTTTAAAACATTTCAAGTCAGTTTCTTTTACTGATGTTCACTGTCCTGAGACTATAAGATATGATAATGATGTATGAATAAATTTCTGAAAACAGAGTAAGATAACTGACATTTGTACAGCACATTACCATCCAGCAAATTATTTTTTAAGTTAAATGATGTGTAATGTTTTCTTTCTTCTTCAAAATAATCCTGTGAAGTATGGATAGTAAAATAATGCCCAATTAACATGTAAAGAATCTGAATTCAGAGATACTTGTTAGCTCTGGATTATCAGGTAGTCAAAGGGTTGTAAGGCATGACTGAAACCCACCTATTGCAGCTTCAAATTTAGCACATTTTCTACTATAGACAGGCTACTCAAGTCTCAAAAAAGTAGAAATAGGCTGCTGGAGCATGGTATTTTAAAAAATGTGTTAATCTATCTCCAGAGATAGAGAACCAAAGTATTCACCTTACAGAAAAAGAAATAAACTCAGAATATCTACATAAACTTGGGTTTCTTAGCTATTTTACAGCTAGTATAACCTACTATGAAAAAATTCAAATATTGTAGAGACTTAATGACTAAATGTATCCTATACATTACACATTTTTATGAAAGAATCTTATATATTTCAATTTAGAATTTCTGAACCTCTCCCTACCATTCTAGAAATATAAAAATATATATGGTATAAAGACATTACCTTAAAGCCTATTTAATAAAATAACTGAAATTATACTTACAAAAACTTTATCTCCAACTACATTTTCCAGATTTAACTGCCTCGTGATTTCCTTTAGGGCGATTTTGTCATTGATCTGCAGCAGTCCTAAAATAAAGTCCATTTAAAAGTATTTAATTAAAACGAAACATGTATTTGATATAGCAGGTTGTTTTCCAGTTAGGTAAATCTTCCCAGTCAAAGCCTGTTAGTTCACATCACTTTCTTTTTAAAACTTAGCAATAAAGACATTCTGTAGAATCAAAAAATAATTCTCCTTGGGATTAGAATGATTAAAAAAAGAAGAAAAAAACCAGAGTCCTTCTGAGACTCCTTCAATATTAGTATTTTAATTTCTAAAAATACTGCATATGGTGTGCTAAGTAAAACATGGATCTAGTTTTCAAAATCTATTAAAATGAATTTGAAATATACAAGTGAATTTAGTTTCATCATATAAAAACCCCACAAAGTTTATGTAATCTCCAATGGCAAAATAATGGCATACTTACCATTTAAGTGAACTTGTAATACATTTTCACTCACTTCTTCTATTTCCATGAGTTCTTTCAAAGCATGATTTATTAACTAAATATGAAAAGTTTATGAGATAATAATAGGTAAAAGATAAAAAAAAAGTCCATATTCTTTTTTAAACTACAAGCGGTAAGAACAGAATATAAATAAATTGACCTCTTTAACAAATAAGTTTTCAAATTCTTTACAGATAAAAGGTTTAACTAGAACATCTCATATCTGACTCTTTTTAAGAAACAAGAGCCAGGACTGATACAATATTCTCTCAATCACCTACCCAAACTTTTAATACAAATTTAGAAACAACCAAGTTTTAAAACAAATATGTCTCTATATGTCACATTAAACATGCGACATGGCCCTTATAAACTTCATGTCTCAGTTAGTACATTACACATCTCTCTGACAATTACTAAATATCATTATAATCAGTTAAAAGCCTATTGAATTAAAGGTTTCTATGCAGCATACTTTTTTTTATAACACTGTACTGCTCTCGTACTGTGATATCATATCTATCTCTTCATATTACCAATGCATTCGAATTTGTTTAAAGAATTTGAAAGTGAACAGAATTAAGAAAAGCCAAAAATCTTTTTAAAGAGTAAAGATGGGCTGTTCCTTCCAATATTAAAATATAGGTACTATCATAAAATAAGTAAACTGGGAAAAGCAGTTGTATATACAAAATATTAGTAGAGATGGCATCAAAACTTAGGACAAAAAGGATTACTGAACAAAGGCACTGGGACAACTGGTAAACTATTTTCCAAAACAAAATACTATTTGTATTTGCAATATGCTACTTATTTGTCATTGCAATACCTTATCCAAAAGGAAAAAAGCAAATATGATCCTCATTTTAAATTATATATGTTTCACAACAAAATACCAAAAATAAAAAAATTTTCCTGGTATACCTGCATGGTTTTTAAAGCATAGGGAATTCTAGGTCCTCTGAAAAGGAGACAATCTCAAGATATCACCTGTCATACTACCAGTAATAGCCCAACTGAGAAGTGACATTTAATGAGAAGTAACATTAAAGGACTGTATAGAGGTACTTCTTCACCTCTGGATCAGGTCAGACACTATAATAAGAGTACATCCCCAGATGATATACGGTTGGTCTCTCAAAACAGTGCTTTCAGCAACTTTTTTTTTTTTTTTTTTTAAGCAATCCATGGTATTTTCTTTCCTCCACCTCTTGATATTTTGCTTAATATATTTTTTCCTAGGTTATGTTTTGTTTTAATTCATAAAATGTTTTATGTTTTGATGAATTATTCAAAACAATTTCAAACCCTCTGCTAAAATGAATAGGGATTTTAATAATATCTTCCATTTTATATATGTATAAGGAGAGTTGTAACAGGTTTACAGCTTTCTTTCCACTCAACTTACTTTAAACACCAACTTATGCTTTGCTTGGATCAGCCCACTAATATTTTATGGGTTGTGTGTATGGTTTGAAATGATAAATATATTAGCAAGTGATCTTCAAACAATGTTACTTCTAATCTGGGTATTGCTAAAATTTACTGTGTAGTTTAGGCAATCAACCATTTAAGTTAGCTTTTTTTCTTGAATATGTCGTCATCATTTCAAATATTTAAACTACATTATACACTAAAAATATTTAGTTGGTTATTAATGTCACACTGACCAACATAACCAAATTTGGTAATCTCCTTTCTACATTCTTTGTGCCTAAAATTTAATATTACAAACATACCAGGATAATTTTCTTAGATCTCCCCACATCCAGTAATTTTTATGCTCACCAATGATTATACTATTTCTAAATATTATAATAAACATAGGTTTCACCAATATGCAACTAGGAGAAATATCCTATTTAACCATCTAGGAAATCTGTCTACAGTAAATTCCATGTGTAAGAGCATTTCCTAAGGGTCGGTACAGTGGCTCACACCTGTAATCTGAGTGCTTTGGGACGCAGAGGCAGGAGGACTGCCTGAGCCCAGGAGGTTGGGGCTTCAGTGAGCTATGATTGAGCCACTGGGCTCCAGCATGGATGACAGAGTGAGAGCCTGTCTCTTAAAATCAAAAGGTATTTTCTAGGGCTCAATCTGTCACTTGAAGCTATATCAATTTTTTTAAAATAAAATGCTTGTAATATTACAAGCCACACTATTGCCTTTTTCAATTAACTGTAGAGTTAGAATTTTTGTATTTCAGACAGTTTGGCCAAGTATAGTGTTTTAAATATACTATAATCTCGGGGTTAGGATTAGAGTTTAAAACAAACACAAGACTACAGGTCTTATGTTTTAAAATTTGAATTTGTATAATTATAGTAATGAGGTTAGGCACAGTGGCTCATGCCGGTAATCTCGGCATTTTGGGAGGCCAAGGTGGGTGGATCACTTGAGCCCAGCAGTTCCAGACCAACCTGGAAAACATGGTGAAACCCTGTCTCTACTAAACATAAAAAACTTATTAGCTGGGTGTGGTGGCACATGCCTGTCCCAGCTACTCAGGAGGCAGAGGTGGGAGGATCGCTTGAGCCTGGGAGGAGGAGGTTGCAGTGAGCCTAGGTCGTGCCACTGCACTCCAGCCTGGGCAACAGAGTGAGACCCTGTCAAAAAAAAAAAGAGAAAAGAAAAAATAAAAGAAAAAGAAAAAAATTATACCATTGAGAGTTCTTGTATAAAAATAAATTGTATCTGACAATTTATTCAATCCATATTTTCTCTCAGGATACTCCCACACATACAACAAATTACAAAAGTAGCAGAAGTCAAACAATGTTCATCTCTTCAACCTACCAACATCAGAGTACATCAGGAATACATGAAACTATATCAAAATGGAATGCCAGGCAAGGGACTCTTCCAGATTCCACTGTAGTGAAACCCAATAAATGACTGCAAAACACCACAATAGGGCTCTGGTTTAAGAAGCAAAAAGTAGATAAACCGTCAGTGTGGCCAAGAATAACCAATCCATTTTGTTAACTGATAAATACTATGACTTAATGCTTTCGCCTTTAAATTTCAGTACATTGATTAAACCTATAGGGGTTTATGAAAAGGTGCTGTAACATGGAAGGAAGGGAACAACAAGCAGATTAAAAAGCTTAAGCGCAGATTTAAAATATTAAGCAAGATGGCTGATTAGAGACTCCTGGTGCTCGTACCCCGCACAAGAAAGGACCACAGCAATGAATGAACAGCTAAGATTTGACTGGCGTGTTGAAGGGAGAGTGCTGGAGTACAGCAGGGAAGGGGAAACACATGTGTAGTGACTGAAAATCCAGGAGGGTAGTGTGTAGGCACCTGGCCTCTGCAGCTACATCTCCTGCACCCAGATCAAATCTTCCCGTAGTCAGGAGGGACTTCCCATTTTGGGGAAAAGGTAAGCAGAAGATCCCCACCAGTCCTCACTGACACTATAAACACCTACAGTCCTTACCACAGGAGAATTCCATAGTCCTAGCAAGCCCTAAGTCAAGGTGGAGAGCTGCTGGGAATTCAAGCAGTTGCACTGCTCCAGATCATGAGAATAAAGTACGCACTCTCCATCCCTCACCCACCTGTAGGCCAACCTGCTGCAGCATGGCACTGTTGAGGCCAAAGCCACTTCTGTTGTGCGCCCTGCTCCGTGGGCCAGTAGCCACTGCACCTTTCCAGTACTAGGGGTCCATCTTCATTCCACCAAGCCCACATAGGTGGTTGAATGCCACAACTCTAGCTGCATGGAGACTGAGCCTATAATTGGTTATGACTCTGGTCCTACACAGCAGGGAAACCAACCTCTTGCTGCCACACTTCCGGCCAGAGGACCAATCTGGCAGTCCCACCCAGGACAAACTCTCGCTTGAGCTGACCAAACCAGTGTGGGGCTCTCTCTCAAGAAGGACAGGCCCCCGAGCATCCAAGCAGCTGATACACCGCTTGTGCTGGTAGAGTGGCTATGCACCCATACTCAGAACCTGAGAAACAGCCCCACAATACCCTGCGCCCCTCACTCCTGCAGACATACCTCTGGCTTGCCCAGTGGTCCTGTGCCCACAATCAGGGCCTGAAAAATAAGACCAGAAGGTTACCCCTGGCAGGCATGCCTCCAGCCCAGCCGAGCAGCCGTGAGCCATGACCTGTACCTGAGAGACAGCCCTATGGGCCACCCCTGGTGAATACGCCTCCCAAAGGGTGGCCAAGCATCCTTGTGAACACATACTAGGCCTGAGAAGTAGCTCTTCAGGCCATTCTTGAGCCTGCCAAGCAGTCTTGTACTCACCTCCCAAACCTGACAAACAGCACAGCCTCCCTATAACCCATCAGACATGCCCCAGGACCAGCCAACCAATCATGTGCCCACATCCCTAACCTGAGAAGTACACTAGCCAACTGGCCCTAACAGACACATTACCCTAGCTGGCTGAGCAGCATTACACCCTAGGTCTACAAATCAGCCCTGAGGGTTGCCTCTGGCAGACACTCTTGGGCCAGTCAAGCAGCCCTGGTCCTACTTCCCAGGTCTACAAAATGGTCCAGTGGGCCACCGCTGCTGAAAAGTTCCCAGGCCAGCCAAGCAGCAGTGTCACAGGCCTGAGAAACAGCCTCACGGGATGCTCCTAGTGGACATGCCCATAAGCCAGCTGAATAGCCTTGTGACTGCATCCTGAACCTCAGAAACAATCCTGTGGAACCCCTCAGCAGATATGGCCCCAAGCCATTCAAGGAACTGTATCCCTATACCTCTGTTGGGATCAAGCAGCCTTGCACCTGGATCCCAGGCATCTCCTGGGCCTGAGAAACAAACCAGTGAGTTGCTCCTGGCAAACATTCACCAAGGCCGGCTGAGCAACTGCATGACTATGCTCCTGGCCACATTAATAGCCCCATCTGCCAGTGTGTCAGATCCCAAGGTGGTTGACCCACCACATGCATGCATATGCCCCTAAACTAAGAATCAGCCCAGCAAACCCACCCCTTGCAAAGCTGTACAGCTACCACCAGAAACTCTCAGCCTAGGCCACTGAGACACTTGTAAATGACACTAGTGTGGATTACAGCTAAAAAAAA